GCGCCTCAGCAGTGGGGTACTAAACCTAGCATTGGTGAAGACGTGGGTTGGATTCCCATCACCAAATACTCCGTTGTAAAACTCTCCCTATAATCCTCCTTGGATTGTAGCACTCACCAAGGTGAACCATCACAGCTGAAGGAAGCAGCCATCAGCATAACCTGAGAACAACTACATCAGTGGGCGAGAACTTTCTTAGCCAGTCCAGCGCCCCACTTCAGATCCGAGGAACCAGAAGCACTGGGGGTCGGGGGTCGGGGGGTGCAGAGCTCTGTGTTCACCACCTTCTGAGAAAGGCTCCTCGCCTCCATCCCCACCTCTTACTCCAGCACATCCCAATCAGCAGTCCTGGCTCTTGACCAGCAAGTCTTGTTCTACTGGCTCCTGGCTTTTTCACTCTTTTCCCCTGCCCAGGCTTCGCTTACCTGGACATCTCCACCTCCTTGCACAGAGTTCTTCCCTAAGCCATTTTCTACACATCACAATCACTTCAATAGATATTACACTTCCACCCCCCAGAAATTCTGATTGAACTCACACGTGGTGTTGCCCTGAAGTTGGGGGGTTGTTGTTGCTTTTCATTTGTTTTGTTTGGAATTGGGTTTGGTTTTGTTAAGCCAGGGTCTCCCTCTGTAGCCAAACCAAGGCTGGCCTCAAATTTAAGATCTTCTTGATCCAGCCTTCACAGTACTAGGAAGGCTGTTGGCCCCTACCTGCTTCTTCCAGCTCAGGGAAAAAGATTTTTAAGAGTTCCCAGGTGGTTCTAAGGGTAGCCAAGATTAAGAAGTCTTGCTTTAGGCTGGGCATGAAGCTCAGTGACAGAGTGCTGTCAGGTTCTCAACCTTCCTAATGCTGTGACCCCTTAATACAGTTTCTTATGTTGTGGTGACCCCCAACCATAAAATTATCTTATTGCTACTCTGTAATTGTTATTTGCTGTCATTATGAATTGCAATGTAAATATCTGGTATGCAAGATATCTGATAGGGAACTCCCAAGTGGGTCATGACCCACACGTTGAGAACCGCTGGTGTACAGGGTTTGCTTCCGGGAATACACACACACACACACACACACACACACACACACACACACACACACACGAGGGAGAGGGAGAAGGGACTGTTTTAATCTAGGTCCCACTCAGCCCAGCCTATGAAAATGCTTTCTCCCTGTAAAGCACGGGATGGTGCTTTATTCTAGCTGCCATATTATCTTTCTCCTTTGCATCTCTTGTTTTCCCAGCTTCCCCAATCGCATCCTCTGAGCATCCTTTTCTGGCCCTGCTTCTTCCTCCCAGTTCCTGAAGAAAGATGTGCCCCATTTCCTATGACATCCTTCTTCTTCCCTATGCCCCCTAATTTGTCTCTGAGTGTGATGCTTATGCTTAAATCTGCTATTAGTCCCATTCTAGAAGATTCCCACCTGCCAGATTGGCAATCCCAGACATCCCACCGGGATTTAGGGCCAACCTGAAACCCATTCCTTCTGACCATACTCACTTCCATTCCAACTGTCTGGCTCCCGTCAGACCTGGCACAAATTAAAAGCTCAATTCATGTTGGCTGCACTGAATCACATCCCTGAGGGTCATGCTGGCCTGGGCCAGAGCTTTGTGAATGGTTAATACTACAATCAGATACTGTTATGCCCTCCTTTGAATGAGACTAATGACATTTTAAGACTTACTTCATTCCAGGAAACATGCTGAGCACTCTACTTGTTGAATCCTCAGTGAAGGAGGCGGAACATTAATCGTAATTCCCAGATGACCAAAAGTGAGGCTCAAAGAAGAACAGTTGAGAAACATTGCACACCAGAGACCTAGTATCTGATTGTTTCCTAGAACCCAAGTGAAAAGTGAGTCTTGAGCTTCACAGAGAAGATCAGGACTACTCCAGAGGTACAAATTCAGCTGATTAAAGGTATGGTGAGTGAGTACAGGTGTGTAATAAGGATCCTAGGTTGATTGGAGCACCTGGATGTGGAAATGCGGATCTATGTTTCATGGCTTCTCAAAGTAGAGAAGATTTCTGTTAAGAATGCCTTGGTCCCTCTCCTGACAGGTACACACTTATGAGTAAAAAACAGCTTTGGACTCACAAAGCGTTCCTTTGCACCTCTCCAGGTGTGTTCCGCTTCCTGTGCCCTGGGCTGCATGCGGTTCATATATGTCTCTTGCTTGAAGGGTCTGTAAATGGGACCAAACCTGGCCTGAGCTTGTCATTGTGCGCACGGGGCTCATGGGGATGCACGTTGTAGCAGATCGAAGGGAAGTGCTGCTCATTAATCGGTAGAAAAGAAGGGGGAAGAAAAGGAGCTGCCAAGTGAAGGGATGGGGGGAGGGGCAATAAGCAAAAGCAAAGAAAGAGAAGGGGGTGGGGTGGGGGGTGGGGGTGGGTGGAGTCCAACTATCAAGAAACCTCACTGACCATGACTTAAGTGAAACATTTGTAAACTAGAAATAAATGCTCAGGGGTAGTTAAACTCATTTTCTCTATCCTCTCCCCCTCTCAGACAGATTCCTATCTCCTTCCTTTCCTCTTCTATTCAAGCTACACACACATTTGTGGAAAAGTACACAAGCATACTAGAACTTCCTGTCCCTGTTCTGCCTGCAGCTAAGGGACAGGCTAGCAGACACTGGCGACAGAAGCAGGAGGGTTAAGAGGGGCCCAGGTTCCAGATCTTGGAGGCTAAGCCCTGCCTGGCTTCTCTCTCCTTCACATGCTCCTCCAGACAGTGGACATTGGAAACGCTGGCTTATTCCCACACAGCATGGTTCCCACATTTCCTCCTCATGCTTTTATCTATTAACATGTGTCCTGAAAATGAGAAGGTGAGCCTCTTAGGCATTTTTAAGTTGTGAACTGTATCAATCAGGATTGGCCGGGGTTTGCTGAAGTAACAAACTAAACCCCAAGTCTTGGTTCCCCGTGCAAAAACTGTACCCCCCCCTTCCCCATTATTCATCTTTCGATGGGCTGCATGGGGCTCTGCTCCATGCTGTCTCTCCTCTGGGTATACATCCGGAAGATCTGAGGAGAAACGGATGCAGCAAACGTTACTCCAGCTTTCTAAACTTCCCCGCACATTCATTCATGCCTCACCAGGCGAAGTAAGTCACTGTCAATAGGGCTCAGGTTATAGGACACTTGACCAGGCAGGGCCCTGCCCAGAGGAACAACCCAGAGCAGGACAGAAAATACATGAACAACAATATAATCTATGAGACTCCTTTTCCTCATGCTCCAACTTTTATCTCTTCCAGAAAACTTGAATTATGTTAGGACCTCTCCTGAGCTCTGGCTTACCCTTAACAAGGGTAAATGGATGAATCCAGTATCTGAATGAAGTACCACAAAGTTGAAATACAAACTCCCTAAAAGTGAAGAAAGAGGGAGCAACTCCACCAGCATAGGGAGACAGGGAGAAGCCTAACTGAAACCTGAATATAGAGTTCGATCTCCA